AAGATACGAAGTTGAGAAAACGAACTGAGATTCCCTGGATCGAGCAATGATAGTTTCTTTATGGAGAGGTGAGAATGTGGAAGATTGAGAAAAAGCAGAGATCCACGCAGAAGGAGAAAAGGAGAGGAAGAGAGGAAGAAGCATACGATATGAAAGAAGAAAATTCAGCATTAAACGCAAGTTCAAGAAGAAGCAGAAAAGAGAGAAAGAGAATATAAAGAAGGTATAAACCAACATCGAGCGCCAAGAAGAAAACAGACGAAGAACGAAGAAGAAAGAAACGAAAAAGAAAGAGTGAAGCATGCTGGTATAAAGAAGAAGCGCAGAAGAAGAAGAAAACGAAAAAAGGTTGAAGAAAGAAGAAGAAAAAAGAAAAAAACAGAGGGAACTGTACGATATAAAGAAGAAAAACTCGCCATCGAACCTGGCAAGTTCACAAAAAAAGAAGAAGAAGAAAGAACAGAAAAAAGTAAGAAAAAGAGAGAGAGAGAGAGAGAAAAGTATACGTACATATGTAGGTATAAAGAAGAAAAACTCGCCAACTTCACAAAGAAGAAGAAGAAGAAGAAGAAGAAGAAGAAGAGAAAGAGAAAAATAGAGAGACACAAACAAGTATACGTAGCGTAAAGAAGAGACTGTGTTGCAGAAAGAAGAAACGAGAGAAAGAGAATATCAATAACACGACGCACGATGGAGAAAGAAAGAGAGAGAGAGAAAGAGAGGAAACCTGACGATGCGTGGCGGTAACCGTTGGAGGGGTATGAAACGATTGGAGGGAGGTAAGGTAGGAACGCGCAACTGAAAAGTGGTGGCGACCGGACGAATAGAGAGAGAGAGAGAGTGAGTGAGAATGGAAAAGAGAGAGGGAGTAGGAGAAGAGAGAGGTTGACGTTGAGGCAAAGGTAAAGAGGTTGGGGGAGGCGGGGAAAGGAAAGACGAAGAGAGACACGCGAAGAGAAGACGAGGAAAAGAGAGAGATAGAGCGACAAGAAAATGGGGGAGGGAGACGAAGAGAGAGAGAGAGAGAGAGAGAGAGAGATAGCGAGAAGGGGACACCGGCTTGCCTCGGTCGGCGTAAAGCGAAGCCAACAAACTCACGTCAGTTCGAGGCTGGAGGGATGCCAGCGTTCCTCGTGCGTGTTTTCTCGATGATATCGCGTCATCCACGCCGATATCTACCGCCCCTCAACCACTGAAAACTAACTGGCGACCTTGTGAGTGAAACTCGTAGTCGCGACACGTTGGTGAAAAAGGCAAGGTTATTTTTCGTTGTTCGCGATACACGAGCGAACGTCCTCGGATCTTTCTTGGTCCTCGATCGTCGAAGTGGGTAGGAGGAGAAACGCGCGCGCCGTCCAAGCCGGATTTCACCGGCGCGAGAGGTCCTTCACCATCGTGGCTGGGACCATCTTCCAGAGAAAATTCTGACCGTTCCAGAAACTCTTGGCGAACCTTCGTGCACCTGCTTGCGAGCACGTTCGCTAGCTTGGATTCAAGAAACACCGTGACTCTGACACTCCGCGAAGTTTCAGTTTGAACACGAAAAGTTGCGAGTCGAGCGGAAGATCGGAGAACGAACGAGAAGCCTCCGATGAGAGGAGCGTCCGTCACACGGAGGAGGAAGTGGAGGATCGTAGAGGCGACTGGCGAATGCGAATTCACCTCTTTGTGATCGTCGATCGTTCCTCGTCGAGGGTCGAACAGGAAGGGTGGCGAACCGAGAGAGAATCGAGGAGAGAGGGCAAACGAAAAGCATCGGTTTTTCCCCCTCGGGTGATATGAGCTGGGCGCAATTAAGGCGGTTAACGGAGTCGGGAATACCTGTCCGGCGGCGGGCCAAAACCGGTACGAGCGTTCTCCATACAATATAGTGCGCCTCCTACTCCTACTCCTACTCCTTCTTCTTCTTCTTCTTCTTCTTCCTCCTCCTCCTCCTCTCCCCCCTCCTCCACCTCTTCATTCCTCGTGGCCGCTGCATGCAGCCTTCAAAAGGTGCATACACCTTCGGCCAGCACGCCGAGTCTGCGCTTCTTCGTGTTCTTCTCCTCTTTCTTCCTTTCCTTCGCCCCTTCGTTCTTCGTTCCTTTCTCAGCCTCTCCACTCTTTCTCCGCTTCGCCACCGAGAAACATGGACGTCTCGTAGCGCGTCTCTGTACAGCGATACGTCCCGTCTCGCCGATTATTCGAGTGTCGATATACTCGTCCGGATTATCAATTACGAAATCGGTGGGGCACCGAGGCCGCCGAGGAGCCTCTTGAGATTCCTGCGGATGATACACACTTTCTCTACGAGAGTTCCAGCGTGGTCAATTTTTTCGGAAGAAGAGACACGACTACTCCTGCGTACGTCGACAGTGACATTGTAAACTCTTTCTACGAGAATTTCGGAAATCGAGCGTCAGTTTTTTTTTTTTTTTTTTTTTTTGAAAGATTCGTCGAGTTCCGGGGGACCGGGGACGTTTCGAGAAGGCCTTCAGATTCTTACACAGAGTGATGTTATGAATTCTTTCTGCGAGAACTCTGTTTCACCTTGAGGAGAAGAATCGACGAATCGTTCAGATTTAAATTCTTCCTGGTGCAACAGTTCTACCGTGAATTTTTTGGGAGAATTTCGAAGGACGACAAGCTTCGACAAGTGGTTCAGATTTTCACGCAGAGTGTCGTAAGTTCCACCTGCGAGAATTCTGCTGTCGATTTTTGGCAGTTTGCAGTTAAAGTGATACGAAACGAGAACTGTGAACTTTCGAACGAGCCAAGTGATATATGTTCTCTCTTTAAAATAACTGAACAAATGAACAGACCTTTGAAACTCATACGTAGTTCCGCAACGAGCGATATTATAAATTATTTCTTCGAGGATTCTGCCGTCCATGTTTGGAAGAGTCGTTAATTGCAAAAGACCATGGACGTCTCGACGAATCCTTGAATCCGAGATTCTCGAGTGACAAATTACAAAATTGTTTCTCCAAGAATTCTAGCGTCAATCTTTGGAAGAATCTGTGAATCTCTTTCTCCAAGCATTCTTCTAGTGTCAATCTTTAGAAGAGTCGTCAAACTTCAAAGGACAGTGAACAAGTTTTAATTCTGAAGATTCTTACTTATATATTACTAGTTCTTTCTCCGAGAATTTTGCCGTCAATTTCTGGAAGAATCATCAACTGCAAAGAAACTGTGAGCTCAAGATTCTTACTCTCGTCGATATTTACAAATTTTTGGAAGACTCGGCTGATCTCGACGATCACAAACTGTCGACGATCCATTGATCCATTGATCGTCAAGCGACCTTTCTCCAAGAAACTCTCCACTGTCAATTTTTGATAGCGTCGTTAATCGCAAGAAGAAGAAGAAGAAGAAGAAAAAAGTAACAGCGAGCAAAAGTTGCTAAACCAGCAGAGAGAGAGAGAGAGGTCAAGTGTGTTCTCTGGAATTCCATCGGTGTTTCGTCGGGAGTGCGTAACCAGAGCAAGAAGAAGAGCGCGAGGAGTCGATGTGGAGGGGAGGAAGTAAGCTGCTCTTCCAGGTGGAATATCTGTGCGTGCGGTGCGACTCGAGGGCGGTGGGAATGTTGGAAAGGGCGGGAACAGGGAGGTGATACAGGAGGAAGGACCGCGTAGGAGAAGAATTTCGTCGTGGAGCGTGGTGGTGTTGTTGTTGTTATTGTTGTTGTTGTTGCTGTTGTTTTTGTTTTCCATCGTCGTTCGGGGCGACGAGTCGACGAAGAACGAGAGGAAGACGAAGAAGAGGAGAGGGAAGAAAGAAAAAAAGAAGAGGAAGAAGAGGAGGTGGAATCGGCACGAGGAGAAGAAGAAGAGATGAGAGTGTATGGATAAGCGGCGGGAGTTGGAGTATTATAGGGAGAGGAAAGGTGGAAAATGGGAAGGTCTCGGGATACAGCGAGCCATTGAGAATTCTTAGCTCGTCCGTTTAGTTGGGCACAACCGCGAGCTGCGAGAGAGTCCGTCCATGAGGTTTGAACGAAGGACGAATTGTTGAGAAGCCACGCCATGAGAATCCTCAAAACGCTACACTGGTAGGTTTCAAGTTTCAACGACGTTGACTTCTTCTTCTTCTTCTTCTTTTGTTCTTCTTCTTCTTCTTCTTCTTCTGGCTAAACTTCGTTTCAGCCTGAATTTTTCACCTATGTTAATGACCTATGTTAATAAAATCTGTTTTCAGACAATAAATTTTTCTCCACAAAACTAACAGGATACATTAACAAAATCTGTTTTCATAAATAAATTTTACTCCACAATTCTACTGTTTAATATGATGTAATATTTTATAACAGTTACTGTATCATTCTACTGTTTTCATAATCAATTTTACTATGTACAAAAGTAATGTGCACAGTAGTAATTTACAATAATGAATCATAGTTAATACAAGTAAAAATGTAAAAATTCGAAAATCAAAAAGATATTGTCCTATCGAATAGAATGTAAAATATTTCATTTAATTTCTATAAGATATTATATATCACAATAATTTACAGCGAAATTATATTTATTCTTCCTTTTTGTAATATTATCTGATTATTTATGTTGTTTAAAATTCCTTACCAGTGATATTCGTTTTATTTCAATTATTCCAAGATATTTATAGAAATAGAAACGACGATCACTGGTGACCATCGTGTAACAGTCAGTGTGTTAAATAGTTTAAAGACAAACGTTCTTTTCTAACGTCGGCGCGATGTCGTTCGGTAACATTCCAATAACTTACGAAAGGATATTTTGTAATTTTTCTAATAACGTATCGCCGTTAAATGCAGATTGAGCAGCGGAATGACAAGTGTGTCAATACTTTCATCGTTGGGAATTGCTGCTTTGTACATTACTTTTGTACATAATGAAGCTATTTCTGGAAACATTATGAGCTGTTTCTGGAAACATATTTTGCTAATATGCCATTTGTTTCCATAAAGATATCGTCAAAAGGTGTGCCAATATTTGATTTCCAAAACATCACAAAAAGATAAATCCTTCGGCTGATAATATTGAAATTGAAATCACAAAATTTATATTTTTACAAACTACACACACTTTTATATTTTATGATATATCTTGAACTTAAAACTGATTTTTTTTTTATATATCTTAAATAACTTTACGTGTTTAGATCTAGTCAAGTAATCAAATCAGGATACAGAGAGAAATAGATGAAAAATTTCAGGTACTTCCTAAAACGAAGTTTAACCCTTCTTGAAGCAGTCTTTCTACTTCCACTTTTACTCTTTGCTATCGTCGCCATAGACCTCTCTTGTTTGGCCATTCAACATTTTGGCCCCTTTTATCGCTCGTTCTCTCTTGGTATTTTAAAGCGATTTCGTTGTTTAGCAAGGTGAAGTCGTTTGATAATTCTACTATGGGGTTGTCGAGGTTGTTCTTTGTATGGAAATTCATTCGAGGGAACAGTCAGGAGGCTTGAGAGAATCCGATCGTTTCTCCCTCTTCTTGCAGAGACACCGCTTCGCTCGCCGGAAGTTAAAAAGGTGTCTATGAAGCATCCTGTAATTGAGAATAGAAAGTCGAATACGAACGGTAATAGGAGGAACCTGCTATCGCCTGTTTTATCGAGCAATTACCATTTTCACGCAGTGATTCTGCAAAAATCTTCGTTCGTCTCTGACACGTTGTTGTTCAAACAAGCATGTTTTCGCTCGCAAGGGAAGTTCGGCAACTGGAAAGTTCAAACAAATTTAAAACTTTGCACAAATATAATATCACGTGACACTGACACTAATAGAACAGCTTCTTTCACTTGCTAGAAAATGACTCCAAAGAAAACTTAACCTTTCAATTAATTTAATCTTTTTTATTTTAATTTATTTTATATAATCGTGAATACTTGTGAAACTTTTTTATAAGCGTTAATTGAAGTTCTGAGGTTTTTGATTGAACGATGTATGCTCCTATTTTACTATAATAATATGGTTTTTAAATTTTGCATTCGCGTCAGACGAAGAATTCTATCCATGCGCAAGCGTCTATCGCGCATCTGTCCAGCGCGCATGCGCATAACTAATGTGAAATATATACCTGTACAATTTAACATGACAATGAAGAAACAATATTGAAAAACGATCGACAGTATATATTTTAATTCAGAGGATTCTCGAATAATATAAGTGGATGATTTTTAATTTAACAGAGATTTTGTTGACTGGACAAAACGCGTCTCTTGTTTTCTATATATAAGATTTTCAAACGTTGCATTCACATCTCACGTGCATCTGTCTGTGCGCATGCGCCTCACCAATATAAAATATGCACTGCGATTTAACCCAACTAAATTAACAAACAAGAAAAAATTGAAGAACGATTGACGATGTAGCTTTTAATTCGGAAATAGTCCCGAATATTATAAGTGGTGATGATTTTTAATATAACAAAGAGTTTGTTAATTAGACAAAATATTCTGTATACGATTTTCTAACTTGCGCATCTGTCTGTGCGCATGCGTCTGACCAATATAAAATATGCACTGCAACTTAACCTAACAGTTTAGAATGAAAAGGCCAAAACTGAAAAAAACGATTGACAGTACAGAGAATATTTCCAAGCAAATTGAAATTTTTTTCAATTTTCTGGTTACCGAACAATTTCTTGTCAGTAGGAATTCACACTTACAGCGTACAGGTACGTACACTTACGTGTTTCGAGTTACACTGACGGAAACGTCACGCGTAAAATATTCAAACCTTAACGAGCAGGTAAACAAAGTAGCGGAAGCGCATACTCGCGCGTTATTTCAACGTAAAACGTAGACAGGTTTGAACGTACTGTAGGTCAGCGATGCCAAAGTCGTAAAAAGGTTCAGGTATGCGATAACGTCCATTTTCTGGCCGTTCCAGGGAAAATACGAGCGGCAGATATTTGCCAAGACCGATGTTAAATAGTCGAGCAACGGTACCCTATCCAGAGGTTAATTCAACTCGAACGAACATTCAGCTTCGCTATTTCTGTGATTAAACTCTGACACGCCGTTAAAAATTCATCGGGAACTTGTAGTTTCTCTGAGGAATTTCTCAAGAAAATTCTTCGACAATTCCTGCAGATTTCTTGTTCGAATTGACCAAGCTACTTGAATCCAAGTGAATTGCAGCCAAATTATTTGCGAGTATTGTTTAAATTACTTCAAGCCCTGTATTTATATAATTCGACTTATTTGACTTAGGTATTCTTTCAGATTTCTTTTTTCGTTTTTTTCTTTTTTTTCGTTCTCACGAATCAAATTACTGTATCGGCTTCAATATGATTTCATTTCTTGACATGAAAAAAAAGACAGTAGTTTCATAGCTTCTATACTGATACAAATATAAATCTTACCCGTGATCTCACGTGTTGTCATACAAAACGTGATAGTATGTAATTTCACGTGGTATGAAAATAATGTATTTCTATTTTCGTTGTATTGTACATGATCGTTTGGTCAGTCAGAGAAAAAGCCTGTTTCCTTTTGTTTTCAAGTAATTTGAAAGAATGTACTAACACACAAATTCCTTGAGATCTAATCAAATTTCTATTAAGAAAAGAAAATGTTTCAAGAGAAACTTTCGACTATTCATAGCGTATCGATATAAATATAGATTCTATCCACAATATCAAACATTATCATATAAAACGTACTTCTCTATCTCTGTTCAATCGAATAGAAGAGTACACTTGTCCTCTCTTGTCTGCGAGTAACTTGAAAGAATTCACCAACATGAACTCTTTGAAAGTTTCAATTATTTCTTCCGACACGAGAAAAAAAGGAATTATTTCATGTGACGTACCGACACAAATATACATAATAAATTCCATCCGTGATAAAACTTGACGTGACGCGATAGCGTGTTTCTATCTTTTAGCTCTTCCTCGGTTTCAGCTAACTCGAAAGAATTTGCTAACACGAACTCTTTCAAATGTCTTCAAATGTCGAGAAATATTTCGAGACGTCAGACGCTAGAAAACAAAAATATACAATTATTTTACAATGTACTAATATATCTTACTCGTGACAAAAACGTGATAGCGCGACATGTATGATTTGTTTCTATCTTCACTGCCCACAAGACGCACGTGATCGTTTTTTGATCAGAAAATCCTCTTGGAACAGGAAAAACCCACTTGTTCTTACCTGTGCCCTGTAAGCGTGTTTAGATTTGTGCAGCCCTAGCTACCTGACCACCTCCGCAGGTATATATCCGAGCCAGGGACGCGTTTTCACCGATCGTGTGGAAACGCAGCTGAATGCACCCGAGTGTTCAGTGCCGATGACGTTTGCCATTCCGATTTTTCCCCTCGACGGCTTGGAATTCCTCGCCGCGGAGGCTTCCCACGTCGAGCGAATTCCCCCTCCGCGCGCGCGTTTCAATGCACGCGAACAACAATCCCAAGCTTCGTTTCTTCGAGGATCGAACGCCTGCTGGCTGCAGGCGTGTGCACTCGTAAACAGGAAAAGCGTTGATACACCACGTTGTTACGTGTTTCAGAGATTTCGCCAAAGATTGGCTCGCATTCTTTCTCGATCTTTAAAATCATCCGCCGCGCCATGTCGTGTGAATACTTCGGTGCAAAGATCTTCTGCGCCGAGTTGACGCTACGACGGCAACGTTGATTGCAGCGTAAAAAGAAATTGATAACAATGAAAAATCCTCGATACCTCAAAAACTGTTGCAACTGTTCGCAACAGAGAATCGTAGTCAACAGTTTCATTTTCTTTCTCAAATATTATGTAGAAAATGAAAGCGTCTTCTTTCTTCTTTTATAAAGAACCGGAGATTCGAATTGATGGAGGGGAAAAAAACTGTATCGTTCCCAGTTGAAAAAGTGGGGGTGACTTTGAAATGACCTTGAGCTCTTCCAGCTACACTAATACTCTCTGCATTATATTTTTGTCAACAAAATTTTTTTGTTAACGAAAGTCGAGCTTATACGGTTCACCCTTGTACAAGGTTCAAGAACAATTTCTTGAAACAATAGCTAACTAGCGTTTGATTGATCGTCATAGCGTTAATAATCGGTGTCCGATTCGATTTTAGAGGATCTCGTTGAACACAAAAGCGACTTCGCGGCGTAGAAATTCGGAGGAGGAGGTGGCCTCTTTGTTTCCGAGAGAGGAATGGAATCGTCTAGCATTTCCGTAGAGGTTAGGTCAGGCGTCTCGCAAGCAAGGAATCGTAAAGCAAGATGGAACGGTTTTAGCGAATTCCTAGCAAGAAGAAGACGGCCGAAGAGAGTTCGGGTGCTGAAGAGGCGCAATGCGATTAGGTCTGTCCAGCTTTGTGAACCTCTCAGACGGCGGGGTACTTCGTGGAACGATCCTAGACGAAAATCGTATCCCTTTTAGGATAAAAGCCCTCTCCCGAAAAGTATTCTCCAAGACAAACTCGCCACTTTCTAGAATTATCGGTCGCTTGACACATTCCTCCGAGTAATTCTTTTCTCTCATTTTCTTCCAACTGTTTCGCGATAATATCGTCGCCGACTTTTGCAAATGAATTCTTTTTTAAATTCCTCTTGTGTTTGTTTATAAGGTTCCCATATCTAAAGCTATTATTTAGAGTACACTAGTATCTGAAAGTTTTGTTTGATGATAGTATAAATTATTATAATTATTTTATAATATAATTGATTATTTATATGTACAATAAACTTTGATGTGTAAATTATACGTTTGACGTGTTCCTTGTAATTACAAACGTACAAGATTTTACTGGGAAAGCAGTATGAAACATTGTGATGAATCGTAGTTTCGTTTGTAAACGACGAAGATTTCGTAGAGATAATTTTTCCACAAATTGAAACAGCAAACCAAGGAGGGTGTATTTGAGCTAAAAAAAAGAAGTTAGATATTTTAACATAACTGTCTTAAATATTGAAATAAATAATATTATAATGTATAGACGTGTATAATAAATACAAAATAAATAATATATTATAATAATATGTTTATGCAATTCGTGCAAATATGGGAGACTCTGTTGTATGTTTCATTTACAATGTATCAGATAATTTTTATATATAAATAATTTCATTTCACGAAAACGAAATAAGCTTAAATTTAAAGAAAGAAAGAGAGAACTTTTTCTTTAAACGAACCAAAAAAAAAAAAAAAAAGAGTGTGCAAGAAAGGCACGAAACGCAAACGGCATTAAGGTGAAAAGAGAGAATTAAAGGAGGAACGCTACATTGGAGGTCGTTTTGCCGGTCTCGATCGTTTTTTCCTACAAGTACCCCGTCGAATCGACTAAGTTTGTGCTCGTTGTATTTATCCTTTTAAGAGTAAATCCCTATTAAAAAAAACGTAGCTACCGACTAGCCTAGATATCGTGTTATCCTGCTTTAGAGTTAGAGAGAGAGCTGGTCGAGTTTCTCATCGTTGGAACAACCACGTAGTAGATGGATGCACGTAACACTTCTGTACATAGCACACCAATGTAAGTGTCACCCAATACGTTTTATCTTTTCGCCGTACCGTCTACCAGAACCATGTTGGATAATAGTACTCCAAGTATTCCTTACTTCTTAAGATGGGATTTCCTGTAAGCACGTCAGACATATTTGTACGTTACATTGATTACAATGGAGAAGCGTATTCCTGTTTTTTTTTTCAATACTTTCAAATGTTCACGAAGTTGTTCGCGTCAACTGGTTTCTTTTTCTTTTTTAGCATTGCCTGCCTGATTAATTGTCAAGCTAAATCACGGCACATATTTCGCGTTAGTCAGGCGCATGCGCGCTAGACGGATTCCCGATTAATTGTCAGGTTAAATTACGGTACACATTTCGCGTTAGTCGGGCGCATGCGCGCCACCGTGTTTGAAAATTGCAACGACACAGAGACAAAAAAGAAGCAGCAATGTGTTTTGTTTAATCGAAAAATCTTCGAAACTTGTGAGAAATCTCTCCTTTGCAACGTCCTTGATCGATTGTAACACGATACACTCGGATGGATCATTATCTGGAAAGAAGGTTAAATCGAGCAAACGTCGTGTCCTTTTTGGGTTTGTTTTACAGGTTAGGTTTACACTGGGAGATTCTAGTACACGGATACATCGATCCATTGTGATTGCACGATCGACTATGTTCGACTATGTGCGTTTTACAGTAATTGAAGAGGCTGCCGCAATCGGATCATTCTCTACATTTTCATAATTTGATCGAGCTAACAAGAGCCAATTTCAATCTACTTAACTTTTCCAACTTTCTCTTCCGATGCAATTACGTACGACTTAATATCGGAGCTGCGAATATGCAATTGGCATAAGGTATGAATATTTATGCAAATTGGAACGTTGTCGAGGTTCGTTTCGTCTGAACGTTATAACGAGGCGAACGTTGTTTTAGGTTATTCATTCGGGCTGGTCGGTTCGATGCATCGAACGATTAGATCGGTGATGTACATATGTATGTAGAGGAGGTTAAGGAGGAAGGAGAGCAACGTCTCGCGGGCGTTCCTCGGAATACGATCGTTTGAAAAGAGGCACGGAGAAAGCACGTGAACTCGTTTACGTTGGCCGGCCGCGCACATGGCCTCACCGCGGTATTGCGTGCGCGTTTTCTGTCGCTTTTGTCCCGCTGGCATTGTCTCGGTTCTCCTCTGTGTACAGCCTGTGAATTCACGTGGTCGCCACTTAGGTATATTACAAGCCGTGCGTAATGCCGTCGCCACCTCTTGTTCTTCGATCCTTTTCGTTGCTCTCGTAACTGGATC